AAATCTTGACCTAAAATACCATCTGTGTCTAAGTCTATCTGCTTACAGATGTAAAATGAGTGGTTTAACTCTAAGTTTCCTACTTTCCTTTGCATATTATATCTACCTAACGTTTTAACAGGGTGTCCTGTTATAGAAGTTAAAATACTTTTAGAAACTTCTTTCCAAGCACTATCTAACAATGTCGGATTTCTGTCTACTAATTCAGAACTTAGTAGTGACGATCAAGCACCTGTATCAACCAATAACCGACATGTTATACCTTCTATTTCTACTATAACTACTGGTGATACTTCATTAATACTATGAATACTCGATCGCTTATCCCAAACTGCCGGAACTACGTCTACTTTCGCTCTGTAATCCCGGCGGGGATTACGTTTTTTGGACCTGTAGCGAAGGTAGGTCTACTGTTATTATTGGAAAATCTTCCTCTGTAAGCTCCAGCCTTTGGGGCTTTTCCGTTTTCAGCCTTACGTTGGCGTCGGCAATCTCGTGCCACGTGGCCTGTAATGCCACAGTTATAGCACACTGTCTGCTCATTTCTTTTCTGTTTTTGAAAGCAGTTTCTTGCCTTGTGCCCCACTTTACCACAGTTAAAGCACTGGAAGTCATCGGGCTTACTCTGTGTATTATACAGATTAGCCTTGCTAGATTTATTAACTGCATTTATAGCAGAATGTTTAGGCTTATATATCTGCTTTTCTCGTAGCTCTTCTCGAGTGGCTACTTCAATTAAATCTAGTAAAGTTGTCCGAGGGGTATTTGCTTCGTTTACATGTCCGCTAGCTGCATTATTGTATAGCCCTCGCTCATACTCAGATTTTAGAGTATCTTGCAACATATCCTCGCTTGGATGTGCATTAGCCTTGCGCAATCTATTACCTAACTTTTGTAGCTTATGTCCAAAAACTCGGACTGATTCGCCACGTTGTTGATATAGGTTACACATTTCTGTTAAGATTACATTAGTAGTTTCTCGTGTCTTATACTCGTCTAGTAGCTTATGCACTAGATATTGATAATCTGTTGTATTAAAAACCTTAAGCTTTTATTCTAAGTACTTTTAAATACTAAAAAGAAAAAACTCTTGAAGCAAGTTGTAAAATTTCCTCGAAAATTTCAAGTTGCTTCACTAACCATGACTATATTTCCATGTTTATGGGGCTCAAGTGGTCATCTGGGGCTGCCTACATGTTCAAATAAATAAAATGTACTAAAGGAGTTTATGACGGCCTTACGAATATTTCTAGCCAGTGTAAGTATAAAATGTATTTACAATATAGCAACAAGATAACAGTGTAATTACTCTGATGACGTACGTTATCATTCGAAGTGTAATGAGACAAAGTTCATATAAATTTAAATTTACTGGTTAGAGTTTGATTCGTTAAAACTTTTCCTATTTAAAACTGATGTAGACCAGTGACATTTTGTAAACGTAGTAGTGTTTGCATAACATGCCGTTTAATAGATACTTGATCAATACTTTTTGTAACTGTATTCTAAACTTAGATGAATTATTTTTTGTAACCAAATTTAAATTACTACGTACATTATTGAAGTTTCATCTATATAACAATCTGGCTAGAAGTAATTGGATGACGAACAAAAGACCGAGAAATTATTGTTCGTTATAAGCATTATGACAGATGTCCTGAGATGCTCCTCTTTCAGTCTCGAATGTCCTTTTGGTTCTAGAAAAGGGAGTTCATATTGTACACTCACCTGAACAGAATTATGCTTGTGATTTTAAACAGGTTACCTGAACTATATTTATGTTTTTTAATTACTTGCATGTATTTAGTACGTACGTTACTTAACTGATTTGTTCCGCGATCTATGTGAGAGTGTTCTTTAATTTATTACTTGCTATGTGAGTTTTGTAACTACGTCGTGAATACAAAAATGGCAGTTGTTCAGCCTTGACAGTATAAGACCCTCGGAATAGTGTGGTATATAGCAGGTTTGGAAAAGGTGGGGAAGGTATGCTGAATTACTTTCTCTAATGGAAAAAATGATCACCCCACTTCCATGTAAAGAGGTAGATTAATGTCTACTCTAATACGAGCACTTCTCTTATCTTGAATGAAGATAAGATTAAAACAATCATATTAAAACAATCATATACTTTTTAATGTTCAGTTATAGCCATGATACAATTTATAACACAGTAGTAATCACTTACATTCCGTAATTGCATAAATCTCGCTAAAAAAAACACAAAACCCTAAGGCTTTCGATAGGCGAACCCGTCTTTTTCGACGGGCATGATCTGGTGGTTAAGATGCTTGACTCGCAATCTGTGGATCACAGGTTCGAATCCCTATCACCGAACATGCTCGCCGTTTCAGCTGTGGGGGCGTTATAATATAATGGTCAATCCCACTTTTCGTTGGTAAAAAGTATCCCATGAGTTGACGGTGGGTGGTGGTGACTAGCTGCTTTCCCTCTAGTATATCACTACTAAATTAGAGATGGGTAGTGCAGAAACCCTTAAGTAGCTTTTTGCGAATTCAAAACAAACGAAGTGTCTTTTTTCGTATAGTTCCATTTATCGAAAGTACTAAGATTTCATAGTTTTTTGTGTTTCACCAAACGTTTTAGATCTCGTATGTTTGTTTTCTGTTTGTTTTTGCTTTCCCAAACTCAATAATTCAATAATATTTTAATTTTTAAGTTAAAGAATATTACATTGATGTTTACTAAAACAGAAACCAATTGATTTTGTTTATTTATTTTTTAAAGAGCTTTACCAGCAGTTTACCATCTCTGTTATTAATTTAAAAAACAACCGGCCCATCTACAATAAATGTTCATCTTTCAAAGGAATGTTTCGTAAGTATTGTTGCATTAAAACACAGATATTCCAAAACAAAAGTTACTGTTGTTGTTTTTTGTACATTAATATAAGTAATTCTTTGATCTAGAGCTACAGTGTTTTATCGAACTTTTTTTTTTCACGTTTCAATGTATTTCAAACTTATTTTATCAAAATACTCATTATTAAGAATCTAAATTGTAGTTTTTGTTTTAAATAAATGTCGCTACATTTTTGTAGTGTAGGAGCATTCATTTAAATTAAACCATCGTATTTCTTGAATCCTTTTACCGTCTTGACCCGATTATAAGGCAATGTTTTTGATTAATAATTAGGCTGTAAAATTCATAGTCGCCTTATAATCGCGGCCGACCACAGTCCCCTTCTCTCTTCTCTATCTTGAAAGTCCATATAGTATCCTTCTACGCATACGCCAGATGTTCGCTCAAAGTCATCACTAATTCTTTGCAGTTAATCCACCTGCAGGCTGTTCAGTTATAGTATTGATTTTGCTGAACTAAAAAATGATGTTATGACACTCAAAGTTGTTTTCCTTCCAATGGATCTCGGAAAATGAGGGTAGCCTTATATTTCAGATCGCCTTATAATCGGGCCAATGCGGCAATGTATAACTACATGGAATAAAAGTTGCAATGTTGTTACCTGGATAATATACCATTGTAATATCTGAAATACATATCTGGTCTTAGGAGCTCATGCATGTGATACAGGAATTATTAACATCTGGAAGTGTAGTCTTCTGCCGCCAAGACGTTACATATTTTAGTCTCAATACATAAAGTGGTTTGACACTTGTAATGAAAGTACCTCACACCCACCAGTCTCTCGGTGGGTCAATGATAAGTTTCTTATTTACAATGTTAAAATCCGGGGTTCGATTTTCCGTCTTACACAAAGTGTAGATAGCCTATTATGTAGAGTTATGCTAAACAAATGAACAATCATACCGACTGAAAATTATTGTGCGTACCATTGATATAATTAATTTTATACAATTCAATTTTGTACTAAAAAGTTCTGATAATTAAAGTTTCATAAATGTCGAAATTTTTATAATAAACCTGTGTGTAAGAAAAGTGTAAAAAAATTCAACTTGTGTATTTTAAGTTTCTTCTAATTATCTCTGTGTATTAAAAATATACAGTATTAATTAAAGTTAACTTTTGGCTGCTAAAAATACTTTTCCTGATGGTTTTGATCATTAAGTGTAACGAATTCTCCTTTTTTCTATAAAGTTTTGCAGCAGACAGTATTTGTCTGTAATGATGGCCAAGGAATAGCTGGTCAATATATTCATATTAATGACGACAGACCTCAATTTAAATATTTCGGGTTATGCCAAGTGGAGGTCTTTATACGTAAAGGTAAGTACCTTAGTGATAAGGCTTATAGGTGAAATTTTGAAACTTTAAGGCAAGTACTATAGTGATAAATTTAATACTGAAGGTTTTCGTACCGATGTACGTAAGCTTGTTTGTTCGTTTTGTTGGGTTTCGCTCAAAGCAACTCGAGGGCTATCTATGTTAACCGTACCTAATTTAGAAGTGATAAACAAGATGGAAGGCAGCTAGTCAACACCACCCATCGCCAATCCTTGGGCTAATTTTTACCAATAAAAGTGGGATTGAACGTCATATAATAATGCCCCCACGGCTGAAAGTGCGAGCATGTTCGGGGGACGGGGTTCAATCCCGCAACACGCAGATTGCGAGTCAAACGTCATAACCACCACACTTTTTAAAGGTAAGTAAAATTTATAAATATAAGTTTTTGTCCCTGAATGTAGATCCTAAAATGGTAAGGTTCGCATCAACTGAGGAAGATCGAGATCCACAGAACAGTTGTGAATCTCTCCATAGTGGAATATATTCTGCCACTGAGATCATGGGTATGACATGTGGTGATACAGAGTTGATGAATGAGCTACTATGGTAACTTACCATTCTTGCACCTAATGAAGCATCACTTGGGTGTTATAGATATTCTCACCCTCATGAAGGCATTTTATGGGGTGATTATATTCAAAGTCATAACTTTGATGAAATCGAAAGGGGAAGAAGCCCACATTGGCTCTTGCAATGGCTGTACCTTAAAAATTGCCATCCTGAAGTGACTATAACATGCCAAGCTTGAGTTTCGCCAAAGGAAAACCAGCAGCCAGCATGTCCCAGCACTGCAACGCAACCCCACTGATTCCCAGTGAATGTATAGGGCTTCCTTGATCCTCCAATGATGTTTGTGATGAAGCCAATGCTAAATATGCCTCCATCTAGATATTGATCTAGAGAGTAGGAACAAAACATCTGCAATTGAGTAATTTTGTTATTTTAAATTGAGCTTCTCCTACCTTGCCATGCAGCACTATGGGAAAGGCTACCAGTTTTGCCTAACTGCAAAACAGGTGCAGGAGGGTCAACACCATGCTATATTTACTGCAACTTCAGCTTCAGAAACCCAAGTCGGATCTGGTCACCAATCTGAGAAAATATAGTTCCTGGTTAATCCAAAAACTGCCAGAACACCGTTTGATCTTGTGACGTATCAGGCACTCAGAGTAAAGCCAGTACTCTGACAGGTTATCACTGACTTTGTTTTGGATAATGGTGGTATTCTAAATGTGACTGGAAAGACACATCTCCAACTACATTTAAGTGATGTCAATCACAGAATGAGGATAGGCAGTAACCTCAAACCTTTGGTTCTGCCATTGGTATCTTGCAGAAAATGTTGGACAGTTTTGCTTGTGCAACAGGTGATCTGCATTTTCCCTGAGAAAGTCACCTGATGACAGTCAGACCAAGCTCAGGAACAGTGGACTGCACAAGTGTATGTTATGGAGGGAATCACAGTACCTCTGTTTTCAGGAGTAGTATTTCATGGTTTACTAGGCACAAGACCTAGTGTGGTGGTGCCGTGTAATGTTGTGTTACAGTTATTTCATGAAATCTACTGTTTTCTGTTCAGAAAGTAGGCAGTATTAGCTCAATCTATGAACTGTTTGAGAGGGCACGAAGTTCTAGTGTTATTCTACAACTATAGGCAGTTGGCTATTAAGCTTATCGCTTGATTGGTTATCAGTACGGTAAGTGAATTGAAAATAACTCAAACTAGCATTATCACATGTTACTTCTGTCATGCAGCATCCAAGAGTGAACATACAATTTCTAACTTATCTCAAGTCACTAGTTAAGGACTTTACAGGCAATCTAGATTCAACACAGTGGTAGAAGCTCAGTAACTTCTTAGTTGGACTGACAGTATATTTGTATCCAGATGGTTGATTGTGCCAAACAAATGAAACTTTCCATCACCTGTATACAGGCAATGTATATTCATTTAAATAACCATTGCATAGGCTTCTTTGGAGAACCAGAGATACATGCACCTGATATTTTCATTAAGAAAATGCTTTCAGGTTCGACACTGAGATGTTTGACTGGTGATGAATTTCGATGGATGAGATCAGAGTAATGGTAAGCTCATAAAATATTTGAAGGAAAACACAAATGTAATATAAGCATCATTCTAAATGTAAACTTGGTGTACCCAGTGTTTTAGTTGACTATGATTGATTATTTTCACTATGTACAGGTTGAAATATTTTGGAATCACACTTTGCACTAAATGTTTTTAATACTGTTTCAGTAGAAGGTTCAATTGAAATGCATGAAAATGCAGACTGTGAAAGTATAGTCAGAGACAGAAAGTAACACCCATACAGTGCCACTTTCATGTCACAACCAGAAAGGAAGATAATAGGAATGAGATGTCAGTGTTAATCGATTTTCATGCTCAGAAGTTAGAGGTTGTTGCTTATCTGGTGACTAACCTGTTTTGGTTGTTTTGTAGAAAACAGTCTGCAGTACTGTTCCCATTTCTTTCCTACTGGACCTGGGTCTTATTCACAGAACTAACAGATATTAGTAAATGTATGTGGCTGTATTACAGGGTAGCTGTGTTAGCTGTTGCCATGGAAATAGCAACATTGAGTATTGTAACTGGATGTTGGTCAAGCACACTACCAAATGAAATCTGGTTGCAGTGGATGTCCACAGATACAAGGGATCATTGCCAACAGGTAACAATAAGTATGAATGGACATAATCCTGTAAAAATGTCACTTAACCAAGCAATAGTTCGTAATTGTGACTGGCCCATCCCAACATTCAAATGTACACTTTCAGCTAAACTTCTGACAAATTAGAATCCAGATGACCACACAACATTAATCCTAACTTTTGTTGTGAATGATGAAATCCTTGATTTGTTTGGCTCTTTGGTTTTCATTTAGTGTTGCAAGAAATTTCTTACATACATTTATTTCACTTGCTTAATGATCGATATCACTGCATCCAAGGAGACACGTTAGCCAATGATATAAGGAGCACCCGAAAGTGTTTGAAACTTTGTGGAAATCTTTCAGACAGACTGGTGCTGATGTGAGTTTGCAAAGGAGTGTGTTCTACTTGTGGGATCCAGCACACAAGGACTTCACCTGACTCTTCTGACAGCCAAGCCTCAAAGCTTTAGAATATACAGTTATTATGATTCTTTTGTAAGAGACATTTTCGGCTTTTCCTTTTTAGTACTAATTTAAGTGTAAGGTTGTTGTTTTCATGATTGTGGATAAGGTTTATTTGTGTATGTGTAAGATGTTTTTGTATTAATGTTTATAGCTAAATTTTTCTAACTGTATATTTTTGTATGTTTTGTTGGTTAAAACTAAAGAGGATACATGTTTCATTTAATGTGCCTTTTTGTTAAATGTCTGTGTACAATTATTTATTTTTCATTTTCCTTTCTTCTTCTAGCATCCACTTGATGCAGGATGATAACCCTAGCTACAATTTATGTATATACACATACATTTTGTACTTTCAAGTTTAACATGTTTTTTTTTTAGGGTGATCATATTTCCAAACCGGAAAAACCGCAACAGCCTAGCCCTTGCCCATAATTTTAAAAAAGGTTATTTCGAATTTGAAATAATTTAACTCTTACTTAATTTGCTTTAAACTTATCGAGCTCTTCCCCACTATTTCCAAATATATTAACATTGGCATTGTTTTTGAAATAATTTCAACTACTTTCATGGTGATAGACACACACACTCACCAACTGCTATGGAGAGAGTTTGGCAGCAATAGAGTATGTAATACAACAATTAGCAAGTCAAGTATACGTGTTACATTCGTGATTCGAAGTGACTGATAGTTTGACGTCTATCATAAAACTAGGACGTTTTGTGTGTCCTGAGAACGTTTTTTTGGGAACACTGGAACAAACTACCCAAAAAAACCGGGATGTCTGATCACCCTATTTGTTTTTAATTAGCTATTCAAAAGTTCTCTCTTACCGTTTTATAATTCTGAAAAAGGCTGTGATACGGAAATGTTTCATTTAGTATGTTTTTGTCTTTTTCCATAATTTTCAATTGTTTACTTTATATTTCATGTTGAGGCTTTTTTTTATTTTGCTTTATTTTGTATTATTGATTTTTACAGACATATTTGTTTCGTTTGTTAAATTAATTTATAAGGGTTAAGCTACTATGTTGTATTTAGTATAGATTTTAACTTTGATATGTAGTTTTTTAATAAAGTTGTATTATTTGTTTATTTTGATGTATAAGTCTTTTTGGGGGAGACAGAAAATTAGACTGCTTTGCCAAATATGCACAAATCTATCTTAATTGGTCTTTAAATTTTAAAGTTACAGATGGCCTGAAAAAAAAGTGAAGAGGTAAGTTGTAGTATGTGGGTATGCTACATGTTTTCTAACTATATAAAAAATTTCAAAAAAATTGATACATAGTTTATTTAGTTATACAGAAGATCAGTCAAGGAAATAGTTAAGTTCCTTTTGCTTTAGTTGCCTATTGTTCAGGGTCGTTTACCTATGGTATCACATTTGTCTTCTCGCGAAAAATATTTCTGTAAAGTAGAACATATTCTGTAAAAGTTGACAGCAATCTTTTCTACTGGCAATTCAGATGATACCTTAAGAATATAAACCCCCTTATTTTTCATTGGGAATGACCAACAGCGACATTGGTAGCGAACACGCCCTGAATTGAATTGCATTATTGCTTTGTATATATAGTGCTATGTTTTATTAGTCTGGAACAGATTTTTCTTCAGAGTTCGAACGATTCTACTTCTTAATCATATAGACCTATGGGGACTCTAACTCCTTTACTCATTTTGATTGTCTTTTGTTCTGAATAAAGATTGTTTTTACGTTTTATACAGTCTCTTTCTTTGCTCACAACTCCGTTAAAGCAAATAATACAGTTCAACTTTTATAGCATTTTCTATCTAACCTCCCGTTTTTGTGCGAAATCTACCCCATTTCTCTTGATGAA